GGTTGGTCGCGCGCCCTGTCGTGGCTGGGCCCGGGGGGGGCAGGCTAGGCCCCTCGCACGTGTCAGTGTGTGTGTGTGTCCCCTCAGGGGTCCCCCCCCTCCACCCCCGGGTTGAGGTGATTCCTTCTGCAGGTATTTTCTGAGTCACCGCCAGTGCCATCGCGGTTTGAGTCACTTCCCGAGGCGGGGGCCAGCCCTGCCCGCCCGCCCGCAGCCCCCCATTCCCTCGCCTGGACTTCGTGCCACCCCCCCTCGCGCCCGGACCCGTGTCCAGAGAGCGGAGCCTCGTGGGCGACGGCTCTGGCTCGGGGCAGGCGGCTCGGGGTCCTGCCCGCTGATGCCTCCTTCTCCGAGCCCGAAACACGGTCCCTTGAAGCCTGGTCTGAGCTCCCGGGGGGCAGGGGAGCGTGTCCGGATGAACCCGCGGCTTTGCTCGTACAGCCGAGCGGTGCCGATGGCGGGGGGTGGGGGGGCGGCTCTCTGGCTGCTTCAGCCCCAGGTTAAATAAGAAGAGTTTCCTTTTTAAAAAGTCAGTCTCGTTTGTGGCGGGGGAAGGGACGACCTACGCTTTGCGGCTTTTTTTTTACTCAGAAGTTAGGGCTGGAAAAGACCTATTGGCTTCTCTCTGAATTGCGACGGACAGCGGACTGCGCAGGCTTCGTCGTGACAGGGTGTCCTCTGGGGGCTTTTTTCAATTAATCGTTTAAATGGCTCGCGTGGCGGGGCATCTGCCAGCTCCTTTGGGAGACTGTTCCTCGTACTGATACGTCTGGCTGTTGAAATTCACCCTGGTTTATTTCTTGGTACTTTTGAAGCGGAAGAAGGAAATGCCCCCTGGATGTAGAGTAGCTGTAATGTGTATTAGTAATGAATGCACTCCTTCTCCCCCCCCCCCCCCCCCCAAAAAAAAAAAAAAAATGTATTATGCAGCTAGACTTGCTGGCTGACTAGCTCTCTTCTTTACAAGCAAACCCCTAGACCAACAGGGGGATATCTGAGGAATATGGGTGCCGTTCGGTGCGAGTCAGGAACAGATCCCGAGACTCTTTCTGATGCGTAGAGCGACGCCATTACTTCATCACACACGTCACTTGTTTCAGCCTGAAGAAAGTTTATTTAAAAAACTGGGTAAAGGTTATTTTGCATTTGAGCAGCTTTTTCCAATGTTTCCTCCTAGTCTGAAGAAATGACTGAAGCTTTTTTTGGTTGCATTAATCTCCAAAAGAAAACTGAGTACTAAGGAAACGGCCTGCAGTTGCAGACACCAGTCAGCTTCTGGCTTCTCTGCAGGCTTGATTTAAAAGCACCTGAATGGAGTGCCATAAAATATATGCAAAAAATCCACCCTGGACTGAGACCTTGAATGCCAAGTTCATACCCACAGTGGTGCTGATTTTAATGGGCCAATTAAGAGCCTCTGAATAATGGAGCTTATGCTAACAGATTCTTAATTCTAGGGCCTTTAGTGGTCATCTATAGACTTGGTTTTAACATAATTAAATACTAATGCAGTGTTTAAAGCAGGGTTACACTTGGAAAAGTGATTGTAAAAGTGGTATCAAGATGATCTACTGTTATTGTGACGTCACAGCAAATGGGGTTGGTTCTACAGTTCAAATAAAATGACCCTGCCCCATTTTATTTTTATTTTTTTGGCTCTTGTATTGTTGCCAGTTTTAAGTCCTCCAGGCAAAGACTTACCTGTTTGCTGCATCCCTGCTGGCCTGTTGTCTCCTGCGTGGTTTTGCGGGCTTTAACTGAGGCAGAATTTAGGTCTGAAGTTGGCGCTTCATTAACGGTTCTGTGGGAGATGAGAGGGTAAATTTCTTCTCCGCTTCCTATAGCTGTGTTGGTTTTGCAGGGTGGATTTATTTAATGGAAGAGTGGATAGTAACATCGGCGCTATGCACAGCGTGCAGCGTTTACCCCATAAAAAAAACAGGTTTTCCAGTAGGGTACAAGTCTGACAGTGCTCTTGGGTTCTCATCTGATCTCTGCTACTTGTTCTTCAGATGCTCAGAGGCAATTCTCTTAGCTTCTGTGCCTGAATTTTGTTGTCGAACTCTCAGTACTTCCTACCTATTCAGCCAGACCAAATCCCAGCAAAAGCTGCCTTGCTGAAATTGTGCTCTCCGCCTGTATTTACTTACCATTTAGAGGAAAATGCTGTTACCTGGTCTAATATCCATGCCAAGCGGCAGTCTAAAATCCTCTGGAGTCTTGACATTGACTTTATTTTGGAGTGCCTGTGCTCTCATTTGCCTCAGCATTAGGCATGGCTATTTGAAGGGTAGAGGGTTGGGGGGCTAGAATCACATTAAAAGGAATTAATTGAGTGTAGAAATGGAATACTCTGCCTGGATTTTTCCTTTACCTGGTGTTGCTACACAGTAACATTTGAGGTGAATGGCTAAAGGTTAGAGAGGAAGAAATATTTTCCTCGGTTTATTTACATTGACAGTACTTTGCCTCGTCAGTATTTGGGGCTTTTGGGGAAGGATTTGTGTGTGAGAGAGTTTTTCTTTCTGTCTTGGACCAACTGCATGGTTGGGATAGTCAGACAAGCTCTTGAATGCAAGGTGTTCTTTGGGGCTTTCATGCAGCAGAGGGAGGAAGGAAAAACTTTGTCGTAAACCCACAAAAGCTGGCAGGACAGCCCCAGCGGCATGGTACCTGAAAGTCCTCTTAGCTGTTTGCTCACGTCTCTTTCAGACTGCTTTGGAAGGACTTGCTGTGCTGCCATGGATGGGATTTTTTTTCTTTCACCTGTTGACTTGCCCTTCGTTCCCCTAGGTGTCCTTGAGGTCCTGTCAGATCTCTGGATTCTTCCTCTCTTCCACCTTTTCCCTCACATTGGGCCTCTCAGCTCTGAAGTACAAGACTGTGATTCTAAGACTCCCTTTGAAATGAGCCAGCATCACCCCTGTGATTGTCCACACGAGTTGCTGCTGTATTCTGGACACTGCTTTTTGCACACACTAAGCATGTTGCTCAGTGGAGCTGCCTGCCAGGTCCTGCTGATTTGGAAGAGGTGACTGTCAGGCCCAGTGCCTTGCGTGATGTCACCACCATGACGATGTTGGCACCAGACAGGACACTTGCTCTAAAACACTGGAGCTACTTTCAGTTTGCTTCAGTGATACATTTTTTCTAGCAAATCTATAGGGGACAGAAAACCTTAAACAAAAATGATGTAAGATGGTGCCCACACACCATGCAGGGATCAGGTAAACCAAACTTTAACCTGGTGTGTCCTTTTCTAATATCCGAGTTAGACCCTTGCAGTCATGGGCTTATAATGGAAATGCTGACACAACTTGATAGCTTTCAGAACAGTGACACAGTAATAAAGAGCTAACTGTGTAGCTGCTGAATACTGAGCTGTGATTTTCATTTATTTATTTTTTAATCACTGGAGTCAGAATCTCTCAGGAAAGCCTTGGAGTCCTAATTAAGAGTGGTTTTATATTCTCCTTTGAAGCATTTTTCAAATGTAAAACTCTCCCTTCCTTTCGGTAACTTGATGCAGAACTGTAAACACGTGACTGAAAAAGACTGACATGGCAAAATGTGTTGAGCCAGCCCACTGGTTCAAAGTGATGTGTTTATGGCCAGCAAGGAGGCAAGCTCGGATGTCCTTGAACAGCTTTTTCCACTGTGAGCAAAGATGCGGTAAAACAGTCTGTTCATCTGCTCTCTGGGAGGGCTGCGCATGGGATCAGGATTTTCAGGGCTACCGAGAAGTCTCGTGCTCCTTCTAAGCCCACCCTCTTCTTCCTAACTCGTGGTTGGATCCTGAAGGTGGGGAAAGAGGCTTGCGCCTAGAGCAGTGTATAGTGTCCGGAGACCTGGGTGGTTCTTGTGCCTCTGCCACTGGCCTGCTACATGACCACAGTCAAGTCACTTCTCTTTTTCTGGTCTGTTCCCTCATGAAATAGACCAGACTGATAGAAGGTGCTTACCCCGCTGTTGTGGTTTGAGGCTTGACTTATTAATGTTTGCCTTGCACTTGGAGCTCTTTTGATGGAAGCAGTCATGTTACAGGACTGCCCAGGGGCCCCAGTAGAAGTGAGCTTTCATCTTACTGGGGGCTGAGCAGTTGTATCAGTGCTAGCTATTATTTTATTACCTTATTTTCCTTTCCAGGACTGAGGTCATGGCTAGCAGAGGGAGCTGCAGCTCCCTGGAGGTAACGGGGGCAATATTTCTTATTTCAATTTTATTTGATTCGATGCCTCTTTTTGGCCAGCGTGACTCTGACTCAGACGCGCGGCTGAACACGCTTGGCTTTTATGAAACCTGTTTAACACACCAATCACCTGAATCGTCAGGTTGCTTGAACTTGTCTTTGTGCCTTCTCACGCAACCTTTCTGTCTTTGACCTTTCAGAGTGCAGCTGTATGTGCTGCCCTGTAGATTTCCATGAAAATGTGCTGTATTCTTGGTATTGGAGGAGAGTGGTATTTTTCTGATCGCACTGCTTGGAAACGGATGAATTTGTCTCTCTTCCCAGGTAAAAATGTGCTGATTAAATTCTGCCTCTTCTGTGCTCATATGTTGTTTCACCTGCAATATTCCACCCTGAGACTATGCTTCGGGCCTAGTTTGTCATGTTTCCTTACTGAAAAAGCAGTGTTTCATTTTTGAGACCAGACCATTGAAGTCAAAGCAGCCTACCAGCGGAGGGAGGGGCTCTGCCTGACAGCGACTTCATTGTGGGAAAGAAATACGAAACTCAGGGCTGTGAATTGGTGCTCTGACAGTTGTGCTGATGGAGAGCTAGAGTCCAGGGGAGCATGAAAGATAATGTCTCAGTGTTATTCTGGGAGCTGAATGAATGAAAAATGAGGTCAGAATTGCAGGTAACTTGCCAGCTGTAAAGTTTTATCATGCTGTCTTGAAACAAAAGTAGCTATGGGAGATTTAATGGAAAATATGTCAGGCGTGTAGGTTAATGAACATTCCTCTGTGATGTATTGTCACTGACACTGCCATGCCTTTTATCTGCATTATCTTTTTAGAGATTCAGTTTGTTTAAGCTCATAGAGCTGAAGTGGAAGGGTTCTTGCCTTTCATTGGAAATGCAGGGAATATTTTTTTGGGGAACAGTATAAGAACAAGACTCAGAATGCAGGTATTTCAGATACCAGTATTTATCCTAGTCTTTCTAGAGTATCTTTCACCTGGGGATCTGGCCATTATGGACATTGCTGAGGGGTCACAGCAGCATTGGTGACATACAATCCATATTATGGCGGGGCAGGGGAGCAGAGGGGCTCAGGCCTTGCCTGTTTTGGGAAGCTGGACTGCTTTAGCTAGTGCTAGTTCAGCTACAGTGGTGCAGCTGCTCCCAGCAAGGGTGTGATGATGGCAGGTATAGCCCTTCGCATACAAGATGGAGCACCAGTGTAGTGGGATAAGGCATTTTTTTCATACTGCTGTGACCACATCCACATTAGCCACTTATGGTGTGAATGTACCAGTTAAAAAACAAACCAAAAAAACTCCTTCCTGCCCATGTTGTATCTGTGTGACTTGCAAATGTACACAGGAGTTAGTAACAAATCAAGGCAAAAGAATTTAGGAGCTCTGGCTTCTCACACCCTGTTCTAACCACTAGATTTAAAATGCATTTCTTGCTAACTTTACAAAGGTTTCTCATTGATACCCCTTCCCTGGGACATTTCACCAGTGAGGGAAGACGTAATACATAGCCGAGTGTATTGTGCTGGGTGGTTTCATAGTTGGTAGGTTCAGAAGGGACCTGAACAGATCATCAAGTCCTACCCCCTGCCATGGTCAGGAGAGAGTGACCCCAGCAAGGTGTCTATCTAGCCTCCTTTTGAAGACCCCCAGGGTAGGAGCGAGCAGCACTTCCCTTGGAAGTAAGTGGTCTTACTGCCTGCTTTTGAGGACTTTTCAAATAATCGCACAGTGGCTTTATACTGGTCTTTGGGGAGTGGGGGGTGTTTAGTGGACTATATGGTCCCTCATTTCACCATTTAAAAAAAAAATTAAATAGAAGGAAAGCAGCTAATCCTGGGTCAGAGAATGTGCAAAGGAGGGCATTTAGAGATCTCAGGGCAACCGTAATTTGTCTGGTTTGCCCAGGGTGGACAAAGACATTT